CCACAGAGGTGGCTTACAGAGGCGATAGAGGGTTTCAGATTAATTAGTGACTGACATAAGCACAAGTTTTTGTATAAACTTTTTAACACTTCGATATAACTTCGGCCAACTTCGAGAAAGAGGTCAATCGTCGAATCCAACTCGGCTGGGCAGCGTTCGGGAAGCTACGCAATATACTCACGTCCGAAATACCGCAGTGTCTCAAGACAAAAGTCTTCGAGCAGTGTGTGCTGCCAGTGTTGATTTATGGATCCGAAACGTGGACGCTTACTATGGGCCTCATAAGAAGGCTCAAGGTCACCCAAAGGGCGATGGAGCGGGCCATGCTTGGAGTTTCCCTGCGTGATCGAATCAGAAATGAGGAGATCCGCAGGAGAACCAACATATTTAAGTGACCGACATAGCTCGCAGAATTGCTAAAACCAAGTGGCAGTGGGCGGGGCACATAGCTCGTAGAGACGATGGCCGTTGGGGCAGAAAAGTTCTCGAGTGGCGACCACGGGCTGGAAGACGTAGCGTGGGCAGGCCTCCTACTAGGTGGACCGACGATCTCGTAAAGGTCGCGGGAAGAGCTTGGATGCGGGCAGCGCAGGACCGTGCATTGTGGAAAGCCTTGGAGGAGGCCTTTGTCCAGCAGTGGACGTCATTTGGCTGAAACGAACGAACGAACGATAAGCACAAGACAATTTTCTAAAAGCTATAAAACATTTACTGGCTAAAGATTTAAGTGCCTTTAGTAAAAGTCATAAAACCTTTATTGCTTTATACACAAATCTCGCCCCATAATTTAATAGGTATCACAAAAGGACTGCCACTATTCAACAATTTAATTGGAATGCACATTAACCATACTGTGTCGGATTGAAAGGTTCGAATAATACGAGTAATAGGTATGCCGCAACCAACCGGGCATAACACAAACATTTGTATTTCGATAACAAACACAATATCCGCCGAACTGTATGTTTATGAAACTCCTTAAATTCCCATCCACCAATACCAATACTAATACTAATATTAAATGTGTTAGTGTAATCAAACGGAACTTAATTCAATAATAATGTGGATCAGGGATATTGGTTAGTGATGTTCCCATCGAATATTACTTAACAATATTATTATGCCGGAGGTATCTACGTAACTATTATTAGATTTGTATTAGCTCACGAGTGGTTTGGAGATGATTTCATTTACATACATGTATCACAATATCTAAACTAATGTCATGATTTATTTATGTTTATTAGTAGGTAACATAGGTGTTTTAGAAAAGGGTGATAGACATATTAATAAACCTAGATAGATAGTAAGCGCATGAAAACCGAGGCAAATTTTAGTAGACCATTCTAGTCCACTTGAAAATTTAAACTTTTTTGTTTTAATTAAATGTCTTATGAAATAATTATTAAATAACAAAAAATACATTTTATTTTAAATAAATATGGATAAAAACCTCTGAATTTCGAAAAAATCGCCATAATTTAAACATTTCAACTACGATTTGACAGTAAAGACATACGAATTTTTGCCTCACTTTTGACGAAGCGTTTGTATGAAGATTATCTATGTAGGCTAATTAATCTATGGTGAATAAGGTGATAGGTCAAAAAAGGATAAAGAATTTATAAATACCTATTAGGCAGTCTTAGGATCACTTCGTGCACACAAGCTTCAAGACAATAATTCATAGTACTAATAAACATTTGGGTTAAGCCTACTATTTATTAAGTACTAGCTGACCCGGCGAACTTTGTTCCGCCTTAATGGCAATAAATAAGCAGACTTTTTTTAAATTTCGAACGGGATAAAAAGTATCCTATGTCCTTCTCCTGGCTCTAAGCTACCTCCCTGACAATTTTCAGCTAAATCGGTTCAGCCGTTCTTGAGTTATAAGTGGTGTAACTAACACGACTTTCTTTTATATACAACGTGTCCCAAAATTCAAGGATAAGCCGACGCCACAGGATGGACATAGTCATGACTACTTTAGGAAAAATAAGGAAAAAAATCTATCTCAATTATTTTTTAACTTACACAATAAATTATGTAATTCGAAGAAAATTGACACCCCTTATGATATTTAACATTACCACGACCACAATTTTTCGAATATTCCTGTTTTTCTGTTTATATCGGCAACTTAAGTAGTGCTGCTGTTCACCCCAACTCTTAAAACTCCCAGAATCCTTGCAGTTTTTACACAATAGTTAATCAAAATATGTTATTTCCTTAAAATTTTGAACGATTTTTACTTTCACTCCACTTTGACTCATCGTTTTGTAAAAAAAAAGTATGAATACTACTGCGGCAAGTTGTTTATAAAGTTGACGCAACTATCCAAGATTTCAAAATGGTATAATACTCTAAGAAAGCTAGTCGCAAAAAAGATATGCGTACCATTTTTACAAGCACTTCGCTTGTTAGTTAGTATGGGATAAATCTTGCAACTGAATTTAAAACCAGTTCTCCTTAACCAATTGAGCTGAAATTTGGTATACTTGTGTAAGTACGATGACAATGCAATATTATGGTACCATTGAGCTGGATGGAGTCTGGAAGTGGCCATAGGAACTCTTAACGAAACGGCGGAATTGCATCTAGTTTGGGTTCGTTGGACTTGTCTTTTCGAGCACTTTAGTACTAGATGATGTCCAGGGTCCTGATGATGAAGTCAAGAGGTGGCATGAGCTGGCCATAGGAACTCCTAAACGGAACGGCGGAAGCTTATCGAGTTTGGGTTCGTTGGATTTGTCTTCCCGAGCACTTGGGCCATGAGATCGAGAAACAACTAAAAAGTTTAAAATAAAGTTTTAATAAAAAAAAACTTTAAAAAAAAATAAGCTTGACTTCGTTTGAAAATTATAATTGACTTCATCATCAGGACCCTGGACATCATCTAGCACTAAATGCTCGAAAAGACAAATCCAACGAACCCAAACTAGATGCAATTCCGCCGTTTCGTTTAGAAGTTCCTATGGCCACCTCCAGTCTCCATTCAGCTCAATGGTACCATAATATTGCATTTTCATCGTACTTACATAAGTATACCAAATTTCAGCCCAATCGGTTGAGGAGAACTGGTTTTAAATTCAGTTGCATGATTTATCCCATACAAACTAACAAGCGAAGTGCTTGTAAAAATGGTACGCATATCTTTTTTGCGACTAGGTTTCTTAGAGTATTATACCATTTTGGAATCTTGGATAGTTGCGTCAACTTTATAAAAAACTTGCAGCAGTAGTGTTCATACTTTTTTTTTACAAAACGATGAGTCAAAGTGGAGTGAAAGTAAAAATCGTTCAAAATTTTAAGGAAATAACATATTTTGATTAATTTTTGTGTAAAAACTGCAAGGATTCTGGGGGGTTTAAGAGTTGGGGTGGACAGCAGCACTACTTTAGTTGCCGATACAAACAAAAAAACAGAAATATTTGAAAAATAGTGGTCGTGGTAATGTAAAATATCATAAGGGGTGTCAATTTTAAAGAATTTCGTAATTTATTGTGTAACTTTAAAAATAATTGAGATAGATTTTTTTCCTTATTTTTCCTAAAGTAGTCATGACTATGTCCATCCTGCGGCGCCGGCTTATCCTTGAATTTTGGGACACGTTGTATATAGATTTATTAGTGTTTTACAATTTAAGTAGCACAATAAGAAACCTACTGTTATTAAAGTGCCTAGTATCTAGTATGTCGTATAATATGTAGGTAATATTCACGAATACGAGTACACACATGTAACTTTCCATGTCATTTCAGATGTTTGGTGACCTAGTTAACTTCTCAGAACCATTAATTGCTATGCCCAAAGTAGAGCCCTAGCATCGATGAATTAGAATCAGGTCATTAGCGACAGACCTCCTCAATCAAGCCAGAAGCCAGTTTGCACGTCAAAGCTTAAGCATACATTGGAAGGTCACTCATCGATCTTCTATTAGCTTCACTGCCACAAGTCAATCGGTTTGAAGATAGTTACCTAATATAACTAAGTGCTGTGTCCGCGACTTGGTACGCGTGAAAATCATTTGTTTTTTTCTGTTCTTGCAACATTTTTCATTGATGTTCTGCTCGTATTGATTGTTGCGTGATAATATATATATTCATTAATGTTCTGCTCCTATTGATCGTTGCGTGATAATATACATATGTATAGCCTAAAGCTTTCCTCCATCCAACACAAAAATATTTTTTCAAATCGGACCAGTAGTTCCTGATATTAGCGCGTTTAAACAAAATAAGTACCTACTTAATTAATTCAAGCGTAACTACGAGTAGTTTCTACTAACTTGCTACCAATTATAAAATGTAGTCGTTATGATTTTAGAATAAATCGACATCTGTTTGTACATCGCAACTCATCATGACCCGATTCTGGACACGTATTAGCGATTACCCGTGGATTTAACGACATAAGCAGTGGTTCCCGAATAAACCCCAGGTTTGTGAGCTTTGCTATAAAACTGCCGGTTGGTTAAACCATTGTTTACTACTGTAATTGGATCATAAGAAAAACCGAAAATGCCGACCAAAATTTACTGAAACGACACGTATTGGTAAAAGGCTTTGGTGATTTTGCCGAACTGATTGAAGGAAGGATATTATGTCTTGTCTCTTCGCTCACAAATCACAATATCTAAATAGCGCCAAACAACAACACAATTTAACAGTTCATGTACTCCACTTTACGTCATATTGTGTCATTTGTACAGTAAATGGGTTCACATGGTCTCAAAATAAGGAAGTACCTTGTGTACCCTGTTACCTAGACAACGCATATGCCGGGGGCTTTTCTCTACCTAGATGCGATCGTGCGAATAAGGGATCGAATTAGGAACTATTTCTTGCTCGCATTGATTCCTATCACTATTAAGCCTCCCGCTACTGACCGTCTCTATCTAATATTAGTACCTACCATATAAATTAATGTATAGTATCATGTTCCATCATATTCGCATATTACCTCACGGTATTGATTGGACACTTAACCCTACCACATACCTGCGGTTCAAAACCAGCCAGCGAAGCGTAGGCGATGGACTGTGGAATGAGCGTCAGCGCCACAGTAATGCCGGCTATTAGGTCTCCGACGCCGTTTCGCACGTCGTAACTCCTCGACCACTGCAGTATGGGGAACACGCTGGCCAGAAACCGTTTTGGGTCGATGAGCTTCATCATTTTTTTGTCTGTGGGAAAAATACTTTTGTCAAAGGCATATAAAAGACTGCGTTTAATAATATTAATGTCATAGTACAGAATGTGTAGAAAAATATCAAAATTATAAAATGTAAGCTTTAAAACGCCAGGTAACGTTGTTATTATGTGCCTAAATAAAGTTCCAAAAACACATTCATGCAGGATCTACGATTACTACCAGTCCCTACAAATACTTAGTAATTAAATGTTGCAAAAACATGGCAGTTGGTAAAAACGATGTGACCCCAAAAAAATTTTAAATCTCGCACTTTTTGTCGTTTTAAAATTTGAATATAAAAAAGATTACTTAAGTATGCGCGTTTTTTTCTTTTGAAGTCGTCCTTTTAATAAAGAATATCCGTGGCACTTGGAAAAGCGCATTTTTTCCTTGTTGTTGTTATAGTCCGGTACGCGAAATGGTCAGGCAGACGACGCAACCGTGAAATAAGNTGTCCTCAAAATGGAACCTCTGTATATTTTCGTGTAAAAAAAAATCAAAGTTCTATGTCATAAAAAACATATGATTTTCAGCTACGCCGCTCAAAAAATGTGTTTGGGAAATTGACCCAAGTAGTAGACCCGTTTAATTGTTCTCTGAGTGAATTCGTAAGAGCCGCACTTTTTATTGTTAGTTATAAGTAATTAGTGTAAGTAGATACAGTGTACCTGCCTACAAAATAATTTATGCTATCGCATTAGGCTATTGACCTGTAAAGATAGTTTAAGTTGGTGAAAATAAATAAATAAATAAATAAAAAATATTATAAATGCGAAAGTAACTCTGTCTGTCTGTCTGTCTGTCTGTCTGTCTGTTACGCTTTCCCGCTTAAACCTCGCAACCGATTTTGATGAAATTTGGCATAGCCCTTTCGGACCGCTCCAATACAATTGTGCGGGTTACAAAATTGAGATTATCTCATTAGTTTTACATTGGAAGTGGATGGGCTGAGTATCGTACGATTGTGCGGGATGCGTTCTTTCACCTCCCGTGCAAATTTTGTCCGAAGCGCAGTTGGTGAGCAGGTTACGACCTGTACAGTTCATGACTGATTGCGCTCCCCGACTTGGCGAAAGAAAGTACCTACTATGGTTTTATTTTGTAATTATAGTGATATACAAGTTATTGATTAGACAAATAGATAAAAATAGCATCTTTTTGTGATAACAGTGACTACTTGTACGCAAAGACTTTGGCGTAACGGCTTAACGAACATTACTGACACAATTGTATCGACGTGGGCCCTACAATCAGAACCGACATCTTGGATATACAAACTCAAGAAGACAGAACTTGAGAACGAGTGCAAAAGAAGAAACATAAAAACGGAGAACAGAACCGTACAAGAACTGAGACAGAACCTCACAGAAGTACTTAGAACCAAGCAATCCCGCCAACCAATCCAGTCCGCCAGTAAACCCGCCGAAGACAGTGAGTCAGAAACCGATTTCGAAGACACAGAGATGCACCAAGAACCAAACATGTCGTACAACATAGATCAGACTGAAAGCATAACGGCAAGATGGAACATTAGTTTTGACACATGCAACGACCCAGTGGAGTTCCTGGAGCAACTGGACGAACTCNCATCCTGGATAGGTACACATCCCTCATCGCAGAAGGCGAACTGGGACTTAGTACTAAACAGCGGGGTGTCAGACTGAGCTAGCTTAGACGCCCCGTTGCAAAGTAATGATGATTTTTTCCTTCCAACAAAAATTCACATCACCTGAAGATGATGATTCATTCATTGTGAAAAAAAGAGTTGAGTATTTAACAGTGTACGTTGACAACTCATAGAAGTAATTCCAAATAAAAACTTGTCAAACTCTTTTCATTCTTATGACTATAGCAATAAGATCTCTCCATTGTATTCATCTGTAAGGTCAGCTAAGCAATTTGTGATGATGACCCAATGCAATTAAGTTGACGCCTGTTTGCACTTCCTGTACATAAATCAACATACCTATCAAACATTTGATTGAGTAACGAATTGTATAACCGATGTAATGTTTATAGTCGCGAAGTTGAAGTGGCAACCAATTTTTTGATAACGTTTGTGCGTATCGATTTTTTTCGATAAATCCTAAACCTGTCCATTATGTCTACAAATTGCTGATGGATTGTTAACCTTGCCTTGTGCAAAATAAATTCGAATATGTATATTACTATGTTATCAGGTTTAGATGATTTGCGGATTTTAGAGAGCAGTATGCGTAACTTCATCGGTAACCAACTAACTTTACAGACGATGTTGAACACGGAAAATGTGTGCTAAAACCTTCTATTTTTTTATTGTTTAATTAAATTATTTTGTATGCTCAGTTTGCTCAGGAACCAAAAAGTTTAGCTATAAAAAAATAAGCTGAAAAGGTTTTCTTTCCCAAAGACACGCATTGTTTGCAAGTTTTCGATCGTACTTAGATCAAAATTAATTTTAATCGCAGCTTCGTTACAACATGAAAATGCCTGCATGATTACTTGAATCTTAAATATTTTTATTTACAATACAGAAGAGTATATTACCAATCGTCTAATCTGTAACAAATTCAATTCCACGCGAAATTAACCGTAACCAACAACCAACTGCTTGTTTTTCATTAAGCATTAGTTTTTTATCAAAATAAACAGTTGGCCAACAATGTCTACTGGTACGTAGCTGGACCTTGACACTCGAAAACAGTTAGTACTTATTGTAGGTGCAGCCACAAAAAAAACACTAAGAATTTTAAGGCAAATATAAATCACAATTAAGTCTATAGGATAAAACTCGACAAATGCATACTGTCCTGCATCACGCAATCGTGATAATCCTTACAAATCACAGGAAGTTTACAATCAACTTTAATCAGGTCCATCAATAGTACCTATACAATTTTTTAATAAATGCAAATATTTACAATTGAACTCACCTTTTCTAATAATATATCTCGAAATAATCCAATAAAATTCAGCCGGTTAAATTAACCAGAAAATGATTTGTCAGCAAAACATGGTTTAGAAAACATTTCTACAACTAGATCGCACATTAATTATTGAATCTATGAATGAACATTTGTTTACGTATTCACAAAACACCACACAAGTTTTCTCACGAACTGTCAAACTTTCCCGCGGTTTTGGGACAGCCACAGCGCATGCGCCGCAAACTTTTTAACCTGCGCGTGGGACAGCGGCCTGATGCAAACTGCCAGTACTACTCAGAGTACCTGTACTAAACGAACAAGTGTAACAATACGCTAATCGTAATTTTTTGTCACGCCTCGATTTTAAGGAAATAAATCTATTAAAAAGTGTGCATCAATATTTTACCCGGATTTCCCAAAATGCCTTGGAAACTGTTATTTAATCAAATCTGATCACAACTTCAATAATTTGCATATTTAGCCGAAAACTTTTCCTTGAAAATTTTATTGATCAAGATCTACAAATAAATTAAAATTATTAATTTTACAAAAAATAATAAAATTTTGATTATTTTTTGTATGATTCACTAACCAACGTTAAAGGAATTCTACATACCTTAGAAAAATGTGGATAAACCATTATGAATAAATATTTTATTATGCAGGCAACATACTTATTTATATTAAGCGACACGACGACATTTCTGTGGGTCATCGGACTGTGTTGACAAAAGTAGGAATTGAAAATAAAAACTTTCTGTAACACCTACCAAAGCCACGGGCAGAAAGTAGACCAGTATATAATAGTAGTCTTTGAAGTAGACTAAATTAAATACCTACCAATAAAACCAAACATAGTTAGCTATAGTTAAGCACTATTAGCCACAAATGATAGCTGTTTTACCACTATGCTAATAATAAAAATAAAAAAACATATTGTATTTATTAATTCTTGCAGGTTTTTTACTTCTTTTCCTGGTGAACCTGATTTTACAATTCCTTTTTATCTTTGGACTTCCTTAACAGACCAAGATTGTACAAAGAACGAACATTATTAGCATAACTTTTGTTTTATTTAATGACGTTGTAGAATACCCTTTACTTTAAGGTTTTGTATTATTTCTGATACAACAGTTGACTTTTTACGTTTCTTTTTTAAAAACTAACGTCCTTTTCTTCCAACATTTTGGTGAAGATTTTATAGATCCAGGAATTTAATTCAAATTAGAGTCCTTCTGTCAGTCACTTGCACTTTTCATATGACTCTTTTTTCAGACGGTAGATGTCCATCCACTGCTGGGCTTATGTAGATAATGTAAATGAGATACAACTTTAGTAGGCAGTGTCCTTCTATTCCGTCTAACTCTACTTATCAATTCAAAGTGGTGTATAATAATTAGGTGGTGGAGAGACCAGTAAGAGGTTGAAGAAAAAAAAAGTAACTGTGTGCTACAAACCTCCACCCTCTTCAGAACAAACAGAAAGTGTGTGGTAAAATATGATAATACATAGGTAAGTGGCACAAAACAAAAAATTTAAGAGACCTCTATCTAGTTTACTTTTTCATAAAGAAGGTTAAGTTAATATTATCAGAACATGTTAAATATTTTCTTTTTCCAATCACCAGGAAACACCTTATCACCTTCGTAGACATTGTTTCGCGCAGTTGATTAGGTTTTGCAATCTCTCATTTCGCGGTCAATAGTATTCGCCGCGATGTTGTAACAACGCGATGCTATTTTGTCGGGCTTTTTATTTCAATCCTATTGTGATATCGCCCTTCGAGGACATAATGTTTTAGTACTTGTACTAGCTGTGCGACTTCTTATCGTGAAAATAGTTTTTTAATAATTTTTCCCGTTTATGGAACGTTTTTCTTTACTGCTCCGCCCCTATTGGATGTCGAGTGATGTTAATAATCTAAAGCCTTCTTCGATAAATGGGCTATCCAACACAAGAATATTTTTTTCAAATGGGACCAATAGTTCCTGAGATTAGCGCGTTCAACCAAACAAACAAACTCTTCAGCTTTAAAATATTAGGTATACAGATTTCCTATTGTGATACCGCCCTTCGAGGACATGGTTTAGTATTTATCCATGAAGATAAAGTGTAAGGTTCAACGCATTCTTATCACATTTCAAAGTACGATTCTTCGGAATTAGAATTCGGTAGGTAGGCATGACTAATTTTATTGTTGTTTATCAAAGGTGAATGCACATTTTTATCTTATTTTGAATCTTTCAAGTACCCCTAACCATTTTTTTTTTGGGATGGACTGTCCCGCTGAAGCGCGCAGGGCGCCACGCAGACCCCTAACCATGTCACTTACTTTAAGTTGCTACATTTTGCTTATGAGGTAAAATATCTAAGTACATAGATTTAAGTGTACTTAAATTAAGTTAAAGTTAATTTTTTGGGTAACAAATATAAAAACAGGCCGTATTTACTGATGTCTATTTTTATTTCTTACAAACTTAGGCCTTGATACGTTTCTATTATTAGGTTTTTTGTCCTTTTTAACTCATCGTCACGAATGAAGCGTAAAAGATCTTATGCCCGTATTCACAAACGATGCTTGCTTAAGTGAAGCAGCAAATCGAACGCACAGTGTTTTGAATAGAGCTCTGTGATTGGTTCGTGTGTCACCCTGTGCGTCCACGTCCACGCGCACTGTGAGACCTCATAGTAATGTTTGTGAATACGGGCGTTAGTAACGTTAACGGACAACATAATGATTATTATTCATTGAATCATTTCAATTACTCCTACGAGTAAATCTACATGTATATCTACATAATTGGGTAACTAATAGAGCTATTAATATGTAGAGATGATCTTACTGTTATACTCGTACCTAAAGTGTAAGTAATAAATATGTCTCAAATCTGACGCAGTTAGTTATAAACTGCATATAAGGATGTAGGATCTCTTCAAAATGAACTGATTTTGAATATCCTTGGGATCTATAAATCCTTGGAAAAGAATTTTACGTGAAAACTAGTGACACGGAATAACTTTACGACTTTTCTGAGATAAAATCAGAAAAAGTAGGTACTTTTAACTATACCTATTTATGTATTTGTTAATAACATTAATTAAGCAAATAGTTTAAGTTAAAGTAGCACTCATAATAACTTGTCGTGGTTATGCGTTTAGTCGCATGCCTTGAACTCAGGAATCGGCGCACGCGTTTATTCAAACATTTATTCCCTTGTAGGGCAAACGATAAGTAGCGTGGCATATAATTTGCAATTCCTAAGCAGATTTCAAGGAGTTCGATTGATTTTCTTAATAAAACTTGGCTAAGGAAATGACAGGTTGAAAAATACTCGTCTCTTCATATAAGAAGCTCAATAATTCAAAAGATCAATCCTCACCTAACCATACATAACTGAAAAATTTTTCAACTATTTTTAAGAATTTTCATCAATTTTTGAAACGCATGAAACTAAGTTGTTATGCAAGAAAACCTTGCCAATGCTAAGAAATAAAATTTTCATTTGACTATTTTAGTATCGATAAACCTGTACCTTACATAATAATTTTCTAGTGAGGTGTGTCCGCACATAGGTAGTAGGTAAGGTAGGTATTATTTATTGGTCTTCACTTTATTATGACACTTTTGAAATTGTAATCTTTCAATTGTAAACTTTATGAACAGTTCATATAAATAAATAAAAACTTACTTGATATTTTCTCTTGCATCCTTTTTACCATTTTCAAGACCATAGAGCCGGCTCGTTTAATCAATACCTACCCAGTTTTATTATAAATAAATAAAAAAAATCCAGTTCCTACTAACACGACCTATTCTTATTTGTGTTGACTGCATAAGTACACGCATTTTTAAAGTCCATCTAAGATTAGAGATCCAAATATATATTTCAATGTCATCTAACCTTTATCTATCTTTTTTGAAGTGGTTAGATAGATACCTACAGATTGATCGCTTCCCCCAGAGTTGCAGAGATAGCCTTTATCCTGGATAGAAAAAAAAATTGTGCGTGCAAGAACGTATCAACCAATTGCACCTAGCTCATAATCTAGCACTGGACTGTGGCATACTTAGTACAAAAATCAGAATAATTAATTTTAAAAAACTGCGTGTTAAGACACGTGGGTATTTTGCTTGCTTCGTAAATGATCATAAATTATTTTTATGCAAAATAGAATATCTTACACTAGTGACTAGAAGGTATACTTAATGATTCTTATTAATTATTATAACTAAAGTCATTTCTTTAATTCAATGAATCACGTTGGTATTCCTACTAAGTTTATCTTTTACCTGACGAATTACTATCGATCATAGAGCACTTACAAATGTTATCACTTATCAACTAGACAAATATCCACTTACGAAATCAAATGTCTATACGCAATCTGTGTAACTAGACAATATTTTAGACAAAGTGATAAAAATAGATAAAACAACATAACAATATTTTTCCAAACGATAGTCTATTTTGAGAGGGCAACGTTCAATACATACGTACTTCATAAAGATTTCGTCACAAATAACCAAATCATACCTTATTAGTGTAGATAATAGGTATAAAATTACCTGACTGCTCACAAGGTATAGCATTAGCATTAGTTCATTTTATTTGATCAATAAGGTGCTAATTGCGCATGAGCGCCTTCCTAGAACTCAAATTAACGAACCGAATTTATATACCACACCAACTGTTTATTTCGAGCAGTTTTATCTACGACTAAATCTACCTTTGTGTAGCTTTATGTACTTACTATAGACAGTAATAAAAAGGATATAAGCACCTTACAAATAAATGAAATTAAAAGGTCCTGTCCTTTGTCCTTCCTTAAGTACTTTTTACTACTTACTTACATTTGTGATCCATGAAATTGCAGTTTTCATTTGTTATTTTTTGTTCTCTATCATGTATTATAGAAAGAAAACATTATTTTTGTAGTCAAATTACGGCAACAACTATGTAGAGTGGTTCAACTTGTGGGATCGGTTCATAAATTTTGCACTATTTAGCAAGAGCCTAGGCTATAATTAAACTCAATACAATATCTTGTTAGTGTGGTGAAAATATTGTACCTAGATACTTTTTATAACTATTCCTGGAATTTAAAACAAATGTTTTTTCTGTACTTTTAGTAGGTACTTGTAATTCACGTAAAAATCAACTTTTTACGTAGGTATTTATCTTCTGCGTCAAAAGTCACTAACTCAATAGGAAAACTCTATGTATAAGCTACCTAATTGAGCTTTAAATCAGTTCACATAAAATAATATAGGAACATACCTATTACC